GCTGTAGTTGAAATCACAATGTTATACCTTTTTATTTTCTGCCTACTATAATATCGCGGCAGGGTACTAAGCGAAATACAACCACAACGTTGCTGAGATAAGTTTAACTGGGTTCTATGCCGATTTGTGCGCCCCAGATCATTCCCGCTGACGGGTGATTGCTGTGGCAAAGATCAATAGAAATAGCTGAGAGACAGGCGAAGCAAAGGACCCGCATGGTGTGGTGGTGAACGCGTTACTCCCCGGAAAGGACAATAGCGCGTTCGCTCCCCACCATAGACACCTGCGGTCCAGAGTTTTGCAAATATCTCAGCAACGTTGTGGTTGTATTTCGCTTAGTACCCTGCCGCGAAATTATAGTAGGCAGAAAATAAAAAGGTATAACATTATGAAATACTGAGATATTTGCAAAATCGGACTCCAGACTGTTTTGCAAATATCTTAGCATTATTGTGGCTATGTTTCACATATTACCTTATCGCAAAGAAATGTTAGGAAGTAAATAGGAAGCTAAGCGTATTACAGAATGGTTTATTACTTTACATAGAATAAGAAATGTGCTGTGGTGACGTTACATAAGGATGTCAGCCAAACAAAGTGTCTCTTCTGGCGTAACACTAACTCGTTTCAAATATCATAACCAATAGCAGTGATATTGCTTTAATTATATTTCCATCGAGTGACTCAATTATAATGACTGTGAGTTGAAATCTGTGTTTGATGACTAGTTAATTCATCGTTACAATGTCACATTAATTCTGTAAAGTTGGAGAAACTTTACCTCTTCTATGCATTCTTTGCACGGGATTAGTTGTAAGGGGTAATCCTCTAGTGGAACCATGAACGTTTTTACACGACGATAAATTATTACTGTTAATCCTTGAGAACATTGTCATGCAGAGTAAATGTTCAATCATTCACGTAACAGGATGAGTTCCGAAGGCTCAAGATGTAGCAGCTTAAGTCGAAGTCTACGCATATGGAAGTTTTTCAACCTTTTCGTAGTGTTTGCGGTGGGGATTGAACCCGTTATTGTCCTTTCCGGGGGCTAACGCGTTCACTACCACACCATGCAGCTCCTTAGTTTCGCCTTTTTTCAGCTAGTTTCCTATCTAACAGTCAAAGTCTGGTGTCTGAACAAAAGTATTCATAAGGTTCGACTACATTAGCACTAGCATGCAAAATTTGCAAGTGTGGAGAAAATGAGGGCTGTTGGTGATGAACTGGAAAATTATGGACCACACGACTTTAAGCCAATGAAGGAAAGTTATTTGGTGCATCAAAATTCTGGTCCGCAATTGATTGTTAATGGTGTCGCTTCGAATGGCATCGCAAGTCATAAAAGCAATCATAAATTTCACCTCACATTTCTACATTTTACATTGACTTCCTACGTTGTGGAAGACATCATCGATTTTATTTCATAAGCCTCGTCCTCGTAGAATTGTGGATCACTGAGAGGTAACGTCAATTCTCGTAAACGATGGAGAGGAATGACGACTTTAACACCTGTAAAGTCACTTTATGCTCAGCCATTGAATATACACATGAGAACTATCAAAATAAAAAGCGTCGTAACATTCCAAAAGCATCGTTGACCTATTTTGTCTGCATTTTACTCTTCCTTGCGCCTTTTTTTTTTTTTCAAAATTTCGTGTTACTGATGTTCTAGAACTTGTTTTCAGGAAGAATCCTTGTTTTGATTTTCTTTCACCGGAACCTCACACCTCTGATGCTGTACTTGTTATTGACGGTGTAAAACTACATGTTAGCAAGATAGTGAGTGCTTGTTTGGTGTTTACAAAGAAGGCTTTATTTGTAGCACTGGCTTGGAGTATTTGTAGATACAGTTTAGAATAAGTGTTATAATTTTTTAAGTCTGCCACTCCTTATTACACTTTTTGAGCATTACTCAATATAACTATACCTTCTTACTCTTACTCTGATTGCAATTTTACTTTTTCCAGTACCTCTCCCTATACTCGCCTGTGTTTTATGCACTGTTCTTCGGAAAATTCAGTGAGCGTGGTAAACGGGAAATACCTGTCGAAGACGTAATACTGGATGAATTTATTGAGTTACTGAATGTCGTTTATCCTAGTCACAAACCAGTTTCCAGTGAGTCCAATTCGTTTAGAGTCCATTTCATTTTAAAATATTTGTCTACGTAAATGTAATTGTGGCGACTGTTTTATATACCGTTTTGTTCGCATCAAGCAGTTTTTGAAAGTGTGGTTAATAGCAAGTATTGCATGAGACTCAGTTACATCCATCTTTGACTGCTAAACGCATAACCATTTTAGTGAAATACAAAGTGGGTATTTTTCAAGCTTTGTCATCTTTCCAGCTGACAATGTGGAATTCCTTCTTGAATTGGGTGATAAATTCGAGATTCAGTTTGTAATTGATGAATGTGAACGTTTCCTCATGTTCACTGAAGACATTGCTATTGTGACCAAACTTGTATGGGCAGATCAATATTGTCTAGCAAAATTACAGGTACATTTCGATGCTTGTGTTAATGTTCATAGTTCATAGCATAACGAATTGATTTTTCTTCCCAATTTTTTTCTCTATTCCAAATTCTTTCTTCTTGTTTCTGTACACAATGTTCACCAAATAACCAAATACCACAAGTTTTTAGATCTCACAGTGGAATCTTTAGCTGCAACATATTCAAACTTTGATCCCCATTTTCAGGACACATGTGTTCGGACCTTCAAAAACGTGAATGACATAAAAGCCTTGAAGTTAACTGAGGAGTACAAAAATCTCAGCGACGCAACAAAAGCGGCACTTCTAGAGAAGATATTCAAAATTCTAAAAGACTGAGTGGTTTATGTTGGCGGTTTTTCTTGACTGTATTACAGAACATTGTTCCGTGTGAATCTCAAATTCTTGAGATTATTAGTCAATTTTGGTGATTTCCTTTGTACTTCTTTATTACAGTAGTAATTATGCGCAGTAGTGGTGCGAATTGCTCTTTCTACGCTCCAATGTTTATGTTCGTACCAATTGCACTTGTTTTATAACAGCACTAACAAGGAATACTACTGTAATATTAAAGTGGATCAAGCATATGCTTCTTGATGACCTGTGCTCATGTGTGTTTGTATGTCTTCATAAAGAGTACTAAAATTCTCTCAAACACCAATTAATTGAAGCAGAGCAGGTTACTGCGCTGAATTTCGAGACTCTTAACTCATGAATATTAGTATTAGTGGCTACGCCTCTTAAAGGGATTTATTCATTTGCAATATCAAATTCACAACATGAACAAGTCCAAACAATATGAAAACAACACTAAACAGTAAGGAACTGTGGAATATCTCTCGAAGATTAGATGCACCTTTGGACGGAGGACAATGCATATAAAGCTAATAAGGGCGAACAAAGTGCAGGAAATTGATCTATTTCATACGCTATGGTAAATAGTAGAGAAATCACTAGTTAAAAATTGACTAGCAACGAATAAATAGCCAAACACCTGAATTAATATACATGACTTTTCAACGATGGGAGAGGCAGCACGATCGACTAGTGGATCACCGGGACTCCTTGTAGGTCCTCCTCGTCAAAGTCACATGATTCGGGTAGTAAAATTTCTGGATCAGTTGACTGAAAACTGTGGACTGTGAACGTGAAAAACGAAGGGGAAATAATGTTTGTTGTTCAAGGAACAATTTAAAGCACATTATTGGTTATCAACAAGGTTCACCATCTAGGTGCTACACATTGTATTGCCTTGGAAATGTGTAGGATGGCATTCTGATATTTAAAAATACTTCATCCAAGTAGTAGAGGAGATTGCGATTTTTGATACTTGATAGGTATTAAATAAAATGCTTAGCTTTTTACCTACTGCCCATTACTTTTTCTCAGCAGAGTATTATGTGGAATACAACCACAACGATGCTGAGATATTTGCAAAGGTAACCACAAGCCAGATTAGAACCCGCGATTACCTTTTCCGAAGATGGCAGCGTTAGAGCAAAAAAAACTGACACAGAAAAAGGTGAAGCAAGGGCCTCAATAAGGGTGCAGTGTGTTACACGTAAGCCACCAGTAAGGGTAATCTCTGATTCGAATCTAGCCTGGAGCCCGAGCTGTGGAAATATCTCGGCTTCATTGCGGTTGTATTAAGCAATATGTAAAAAATGAATGTAAGGATTAGGAATTACAAGTTTTGCTTGTTACATCTTCATCTACTGGTTGGTGGGTGTTCTAAAAAACCACTACTACCCTGGGAGAATGTTTGTCGTAAGGCAACAAATTTCTCTCCTATCAGACAATGGCTGGCGATTACTAACAATAATGCCCTCAGAACACCTTAGCGCGGTCAGCAAAGAATTCGATAAAGAACCACGCACAACCATCATCAGTATTTCAAAAAGAGTAGAAGACAACCGATCTTCAAACTGCTACCCAACCCACATGAATGTGATCACCTTCATGAGTGATGATTACAAAACAACGAAACAAATGATAGAGGTGTTGAAAAACGCAAAACATGTGAGGATGGCCCTTCTAATTAATTATTAAATCGTTTTTCAACGCTAGTAGCAGAACTACGAAGCACATTAAAATTGCGTCGCCTCTGTTTCACTTATTCAAAATCTTCTATGCACCATAAAAACTGCATGTTGCTACGACTACGACGAAATAGACACTTCCCATTTCTGCTGGAACGCCCACATACTGAATGTAGAGGTAGGTGGAGAAAAAAAAGAAAACCATAACGTAGCGTGAGCAGTTGCGATGTACTAATGACATTTAAGTGAATTCAATAAAAAACGAACAACAATATTACGTTTACCTCAATTTCGTTGTTATCCAACATAAGGTGGACTCGCTTGTGATAGCTTTCGTGTTGCTCAAGTGATTTCCGATCAGCAAACACTTTAAGGCAAATCTAGGTGAACAGGCTTAAGCATGTCAGAATCACGACCAAAATTCCAATCTTTGAGCTAATGACCGGAAAGAAGAAATTAAGAATGAAGATATAAAAGAAGAAATCTGGCCATACCTCACAAAACAATGGTCTTTCTATTCGCGCCATTGGATGTTCAATTTCCAAATGATCATAGCATTCCGCTCGAGAGAAAAACTGGGATCTACACATAGGACAGTCAAATCTGGAAGAATGGTTGAATATGATTCAATTTAGAATACAATTTAACAAAAACAAACTCACTTCTCAAATGCGATTGTCCGCGCCTGTTCGAATATTTCCTCCAACGAAAATTCATTATTCTTGAGCACCGTTTCTAATCTCATCATCTAAAATGCGAGAAATTTGTTCGCTTACGTATTAGGCCATTCGGTACGCTCTGTGATACTTAACATACAACGCCTAACACGCATGATCACAACGTATTTTGCGGAAAAGTGACGACCATTTTCAAAATTAAGCCGACACAGCGCGTAATGAACCTCTGTTAATTATTTTTAAAAATAAGCAGAATCTACGGGTCTTTGCGCATAATTTCCACTTTATCGGCACGAAAGCTCATATTTAGATCAAAAAAGCAATTGAATATGCCGGATACCACGCTGAACACCAACCGAACCAGTGTAATTTGATGGTGGTGTGTCGCTGAAGGCAGCTGCGCTTGCGTTTAGAATTCTAGAAGCTCAAATTTCGTCCTCAGATTCTTTAGAAATCTGGTTCTAAGTGTATTTCGAAGTATAAGAAGAAAATTTGTGAAATTCTTAGATACTAGTAAGGCAACGGAGCAAAACATATTCCCTAATTTTCTGCAGCTCTCAACCCCAGTACCCTAGTGAACGACAAATTAAAACACAACTCTAAAGTGAGATTAATAAAAGATGCTGGAAGACTTTGAAAACTTGAACACTTTGAGAACTTGAACAACGGAACTGCCATCTCATTCGATTACCTTTTTATATCACTTTCGTAGTTCGAAAATCCACTTATCACATTTTTATTTCACAATATTAGGGGCCCATTTGCAAAAAACTGGTTCAGATTCATTTTGAAAATTCCCAAAAAATTGAACTACGCGTCATGCAAGGAACACTAAATTTACTACTTTACTGAAGCTCATGCAAATATTCTGAAACGGTGATCTACGACATGGAAAGCCGCAGTGTTAGACAACAAAGGCATTATTGCCAATTTTGTCTTCAGTGATTGTTGCAGTAAATAAACATCAGAAACATAGTTCTTGCTTTGTACATTAACTACGGTATAAATCAACTAGACATCCTTGAAATTTAACATTCAGACAGGATGTAAAATCATTTTCAGTAAAACGAAGGAATAATGATTTGTAAAGCGACACTGCTTGAAAAGAAAAATGGAAAACACAAACCTTTGTTTGAATATTCGTCCCTGGCAAGATTTCACCCCGTCTAATTTTATCAATCCAGACCGTAGGATCTGGTCCCAAGCCTAGTTTTCTGGAAAACAATCAGGTGCTTACAGATTTAAGCAGCACAAAAGGAAAAAAACAAGACTTTTTGCGTGGGCGAGTTGGAGGAGTGAAGAATGGGTCACCACTACCACGAACAATGATCGCATCGTCGGGTATATCCGCAGCTGGGCGACGATTACTATAAACAGTTCATAGTTTAAAAAATAGTAGTTAGTCCGCACAAAATTGACCAAATAGGTTATCCGTTGTTAGTGCAAAGAAGTTCCTGATCTTTTATCTTATAACAACACAGATTTTCGCAGTGGAAGCAATACAAGTCGGGTATCGTAAAGCATGCGAGAACTTTGGAAATACCCATTTGGATATATTTGCTTTTCAACTTCCATCTATTACAGAATATATTTACTTCCCTATGTGGAACAGTTCCTTCAACGATATCATTTTATACGGTGATGAACACTCTAAAAATGACTTGAACATGTTTCGCAAAAACCCTCTGGATTTATCTGAACTTACCTACATTACTTTGTAACTTCAACCAGCAGCATTAATCAATCGGATCTATTTGAATACGTCATTTTTGAAGGTATTTTACAAAGTGTTCATATGTCGTTTCGAAAAGCAATAAACTAATCAGCTATTTAAGAAAATGGCATGAAGTACGTATGTTTCTAACATGTAAATGAACCACTGCATTGGCATCAATACATAAGTAGGCAGTTAAGGTGAACCGTAGCACTGATGTCGATACATAGTCTTTCGCACTATTTGACTTAATGCAGAAAGTCTATTTCTATACATTTTTAATGTATTAGGCCCATAGTTCATTCTAAACAAACGTATCAGACTTGTCCCGTGGAAAGCCATTCTCTAAATCTGATGATTTTCAAAGAAAAAACCTTCCTCGGTTAACTTTTTAACGTATACCACATGTTTAACGTTTTGTTTTCTGCCTTCTATAATTTTCATGGCAGGTTACTAAGCGAAATACAACCACAACGTTGCTGAGATATTTGCAAAACTCTGGACCGCAGGTGTCTATGGTGGGGAACGAACGCGCTATTATCCTTTCCGGGGAGTAACGCGTTCACCACCACACCATGCGGGTCCTTTGTTTCGCACGTCTCTCAGCTCCCCAGATCAACCCCGCTGACGGGTGATTGCTGTGGCAAAGATCGATAGAAATAGCTGA